GAAACCTGGGAGCACTGGACAGCTGTTTCGTCCTAGTATGGGACTCCTCAGCAGTGCGCACCCACGACCCCACCAGCAGGGATCGAACCCGCGACCTTCGGGTTCCGCGACCAGCGCGTTACCATTGAGCCACTGGGTCAGAATCCAACTGATGTCAGTCTTCGATGAATAACAACTTGAAATATTTCCAAATCTCCACAACCCCCTCAAAATTTAGTTACCACTTTTATCAATTTCATTATTATTATTAAAGACTGCTGTCAACACGTACACGAGAACATTCCTGCCTGGTTTTATAAGAGTGAAACGAAATGTATCACAAGTTCTATCCTTGAACATTTAATCGATTCCAAGCACTCAACCAACTCAAACAATGATTTTAAGGTTGTCTATCGAATTCGCTTAAACACATCACACATGTGTGTTCGGCTTCTAAAAACATCAAAGACCTTGGCTATCAATGAACTGAAGCCTGACCTTTGTGTGCAAAACAAGTATGTACAGTCTTTGTCTCTACCTTGGACTTAACTTGTCCTGGTCTTGGTGTGCCTCGTCCCTTTTTCTTTTATTCAACCCCCCTTTTTTTGTTGTCAGATTAATTTTTTGAAACAATTAGCCCTTTTATGAATTTGGATAATGTAATTAGAAGACGTAGATTATCTGAAAAATGTGATGTATTAGAGCTATACATTTCGAACAATCTGATCACACGTTTACTTGTTAAGGCATTATATATGAAAACTGAAAGTGGGGGAATTACGAATATCACATAAAGGAATTCAATAATAAGAAAGATAATGAGAGGAATAAAAGATAAGACTTGGAGACAATCTTGGTAATAACATAAAATAAGCATTACCAAGGTAGGCTTAATGCAAGGACAAACTGTTTTTGCACACACAATAAGGGGGGGGGGATTAAATTTATTTATGGCTAGCCCCTCAACAAACTTAAGTATACGCCCCTGACAGTTTCTGTACAAAATTGTAAAGGTTGTTTTGATATCAATTCTGTGACTCTTATCAATGATATGTATGGCAGTGGATGGTGATGGTTGTCTGCCGTCTGCGCTTATCAATGTTTGTGAATCCAGCTGCTTTCGTAGCCACTTTGGAACATGTTCCCCTACCCTCAAGTGCATATCACGATTAGTCCTCCCTATGTATATTTGTCCACACACACATGTAAATTTATAAACACAGTGGGATGTGACACAATCGTTTATACAGCGTTGAGGTCTAGGTAGCAGCAGGTGTTTGGTCTTCTCAACTATGATAAGCTTAGCTGCATAGTACGTTTTGCTAACAGCAGACCTTAACCCTCGTTTTAATATTATGCTGTTAGATTCTCCTCTGTTTCGTAACGCGATGTAAACGCATTTCTTCGAAACAGAGTACAGATCAGGTTTGAATCCTCGCTGATTTTTGCAGCGGTTTATAAACTTCAATGGATATCTATTTCCCACTAATGTTTCCGTTAGTATTTTGATATCATCATCCATTGAGTCCTCCGTACAAATACGCTCGATCCTTTTAAATAGACAAGTTACCAAACCTTGCTTGTATTCGGCTGGACAAAAGCTATGGAAACTTAAATACTGACCTGTCCAAGTAGGTTTCCTGTGGATCGACCGTTTTATTGAACCATCATTTCTACGACTTAGGAGTATATCCAAGAATGGCAGACGGTTTTCTTTTTCTTCTTCACGTGTCAGGCTTACGTTGTTTTGTACGTTGTTAAGTCTTTCTAACAAACATGTCGCATCTTCATGCTTATCACATATCAGGATTATATCATCAACATATCTTTTATAGAGAGTAACTTTATTGATGAGATCGCCGGTCAAGCCCTCAGTATGTGACATGTAAATATCAGCTAGCAATGGTCCTAAAGGACTTCCCATAGCCACACCATCTATTTGTCAAAAATGTTCACCTCCAAATGTGAAATGAACTTTATCAGTACACAATAATAACAGCTCTCTCAAACACGTAACAAGTAAATGTGTGATCAGATTGTTCGAAATGTATAGCGCTAATACATCACATTTTTCACATAATCTACGTCTTCTAAGTAACAAATCATGTTTCGGATTAACCTGAAATCGGCGTGGAGATCTACTGCACCCCAAACAGCACAAAGAACAACCAACATCCCGATTTTTAACACCCGTTCAGTCAAGTCAGTGCTGTTATGTGATGGTTCAGAAACTTGGTGCGTCACGAAAAGCATTTCCAACAAACTACAAATATTCATCAACAACAGCCACCTACGCTCACTCGATACTGAAGATCAGGTGGCTAGAAAGAATAAACAACAAGGAAATCTGGGAACAAACCAACCAAGAACCTATCATCCAACAAATATGCAGAAGAAGAGAGTGGGAATGGATTGGGCATACACTGAGAGGACCAACTGGGGACATCACGTGCCAAGCCAGGCCGTCGAGTGGAATCCAAAGCGGAAACGATGAGTTGGGTGTCCAAGGCGAGGATGACATGTGGAAGATGATTTGAGGAAGAAATGAAGGGTTGTAAGCAGTCATGGTGCCAGGTTGAAAAGACTGAAGAGAAGAGAGTGAAATGGAGACGTGTTACTGAATCCCCATGTTCCACTTGGAACCTAAGAGACAAATAATAATAATAACTTATCATGTGAAGATAACACTATAATTTTGATTCATGCAGTTAGTTCTAATTTTTTCCGCCTTCCTTGTGATCTAGACAGCTTTGAGCACTGTCTGTTTGATCCATCTTACTGTGTGGTCAAGCATATAGTTAACTCCAAGTTTTTTCCTAGATTCCTCATCTTACTAGGATTTGCCAGTTCTGATTTAGGTAGACATCTGTCTCTGGATAGACTAACTGGCCATAGTTGACTACATTGACCTATGTATTTAACCTCACAATCGTTGTAAGGAATTCGGTAAACTAAATTATTCTGCTTAATTGGATCATCAGAAGGATCTTTCAATCGGAAAAGCTTACTTCGATGTGAATTTTTAGGTTCAGATGGCACTTGAATCCCAGCGACAGCCTTATTGAGTATCCTACGTAGTGTTTCTGAGGTGCCTTCTTTGTATAGTGTAATACTGCAGAGGTTATGGATTCTCTCTTTACAATATTACCACTACTATTATTAAGACTGTTATTGTTATATTTTTCTTACGACTACTGAGTAATTTATCATTTAATTTGCGAGGATGATTGTTGATGAGTAAGGTGTCTTCAATGTATCTGATTTCTCGCCTTTGATCTGTTTACTAGTAGGCTTTTTAACCGTGTTACTTAGACACTTTACTAGGCCAACTTCAACTGATATAAGGTAAGATGATTTGAAGTCTAAGTAATGGTTTAAATGGGAACGTTTTCTATAGACACTAGTGTCTAAACTCCCATCTTGTTTCCATTTTATTCAGCTATCCAATATCGCTAATTCTCCTTCATTATTTTCTAATTCATAGGTGAATTGGACTATGTAGACTATTGAATTTATGTGTGTAAAGGAAACACTTTACATATAGAAACCATATTATCTGAACAAGACTAAATATATTGACAGCCATCCATCTACATCTGTCTATAAATGTATGTCACGATAAGGCTTATTGCTTGATAATCCAATGGTAACTCTCTTTGTTTGTTTGTATATTTCATTTTGAAACATAAAGACTGTAGAAGTCAGAGATCTCTGTACCTTAACGATAGCATCACCTCTTGGATTTATACTACATTTTTAAGCGTTGGCGAGTAATTATCATTGAACCTATTTCCAGTTGCGTTCAGATCCATTTCGATTAGTTCATTCATATGCAAACTGATTAAATCAAGGCTAACCGTGTTTCACTGTCATCTAAATGTACATATGCCATGCAGTCTACACTTTAAGTCATGAGAATTTGTAAGTCTAAATTCTTGACGGTTTCTAATTTGACCTAGTAACATTGCTCACTCATAAGTTGGATTGTCTCTAAAGTGTAACATTAATCTGTTGGGATAAAGTTGCTTGATATGGTAATGGACAGTAAATTGTGTCAGAAAATTAATTCAGTGAATAATACTATTTCATCATGTAAAACATTAATTAATACACTAAAATGGAAGAATATTTGCTTGAAACGGATATACTACTAGTTAGGAAGCCGAGTGAAAATAAGTAGTATATTAGACCCTCAGGTTAAGAAGTTTGATCCTAAAAGCGGTAAACAGCAAGTACTTCTGGTATTCAACCAAATATTTCACCATCAACAATTTGTGTTTAAACGATACAAAAATTTATATTTACCTTATCTTTTTATACTGCGCTTAATGAGTATGAAGTGGGTTGAAACACACGTTCTATATTCCACTGCTAGCCACCAGCCATCAGTGATATCATAGATTAAAAACGTATACATCATTTTCCCTACTTCGATTATATCACAAACAGTTTAAACGTCTGTAAGAGGCTCAGAAAAACTGTTTCATTCAACCCAACAAATAATTAATCGCATGGGACTCCTCAGCAGTGCGCACCCATGACCCCGCCCACCCCGGGTCGAACCCTCGGTGACACTGGGTGGCGGTTGCGCTATATTGTGAGCTAACAGAAGTTGGAAATATGGACCACTGGACCCTAACCTAGTGGCTCAATGGTAACGCGCTGGCCACGGGGCCTGTAGGTCGCGGGTTCGATCCCTGGTGCTGAGGAGCTCCACACAAGTGGGACGAAACAACTGTCCAGTATGATTTTCAAAATTTAACAATTAACTTTCAGACGAATAAATGGAGAAAATATCTTTTGGTTGGGATGTAGGCTTAGTTACGATATAGCATAGTATCTTAGTTATTTTTCATATCAATTTTACAGTTTTCCACTTTCCCAACTTATATATGTAATGCAACATTGTTTTCAAGTAATTTTCTTCTCAATGTATACATTACGCATTATAACTTTCCTTTTCAAAGTTCAACATACATTTTGTTTTAATTTCGTTAAAAAAAATACGATTAAATGTCAAGGTGATTGAAACGATGACACGTTTAAATTTGGTTATGGAATATGTGGCTGGAGGGGATTTAAATCGAAGGATAGTAAAATTTGGAAAATTAACTGAACACGAAGGCAGAATTGTATTCGCTCAACTGATTGCTGCCGTTAATCATTTAGTAAGTAATTATTTTTTTTTACTTCATTTTAAAATGTTCACTCCTTATAACTGTGCTAGTCAGCTATAGCCATTTGGTAGAGGATTGGACCAGAAACCCAATGGTCCCTGGTTCGAATCCGGCCGTCGTCCAGACTTTCATTTCTCCTTCAGTCATTCCCCGAGTATAAATAGTGGTCTGACGAACTACAGCTATCTCAGCCAGTGGGGCAAACCTGATGGTCATGAGGATGAATACTGAACGATGACATTGGGTAGCGGTCGCGCTATGTCGTGAACTGGCAGAAGTTGGAAATATGGACCATTGGATTCCGACAAAGTGGCTAGCGCAGTGGTAATATGCTGACCACGGAACTCGAAGGTCGCAAGCTCGATCTGTGGTGAGGTGGGCCGTGGGCGCGTACCGCTAAGGAGTCCCATACTAGGACGAAACAGCTGCCTTGTACTCCCAAATGATGTCAGTTCACGATGAATATCAACTTCAAAATTTTTTTGATATAGTCTACCAATCACTAGCAATCTAAAATAAGCAGAAAGAAGTATACACCTATCAGTAATACGAGTTCAGCTCAATTCTTAAGTTGTCATTGGCTCCAGACCACCTACGATGCCTATTTATTCTAGTAGAGTTTAGGGATACTGAAATAGTGGGATAAAAACTTATTTCGTGAACAGAATGATCGATAAACTTGGATTACTTCCAAACACTGAAAACCAGACAGGTAAATCGATTCCCTCACTGGTTGGCGTATTATGTACATAATCCGATCCTACAAGAAGTTGATTGTAGACTAAGTAACCTAGTGGTAGTTTTCTCCGATTTCAACACTGAGCAATGCAGATACCAATCATTAAAAAGGCATCAGTTTCCGAACGGGTATCAACAAGCGCAAAAAACCAAATGAAGTAAGACTTCTTGGGTACAAACTCGTAAAATCTGACACTGGTAAGTAAAGTCCTTCTATATAAGAGTAGAACTCATGATTAAAGTCAATCTGAATTCATGTTGACTTCCTTTTATTTATAATTTTCTGCGTGCAACAATCATATTCATTATGAAACCATTTATGTAAGTATCTTCCAGACAAACATCTTACAGTCATCAATAGTTAAATGGTAATTTAGTTCACATAATTTTTGAATGAAATCTCCATTAAAATTTAGGTAAACCTCGTTCAATGTTCATTTCAAGTAACCGGAAATTATTTCACATATGTCATCTGTGGCTCCAACTCATGAGATATTTAACTATCTATCAAAGAACGAGTATACTTCATTGAATTTCATGATATCCTGTTGTACAACTGTGAGGCGTTGACGTTAAAAGTAGAACAGATGAAGAGATTACAAGTTTTTGACTATAGATATCTTTATAGCATCGCTTATGTTTGGTGAAATTACCATTTGAGCAATATTGAGATCAGGCAAAGGAAATTAAGCAAGGAAGGCGAGTCAGACAATGAGACTGTGAACCTTCAATGACTGAAATGTCTTGAATATGCGCTGAACATGGTGAGTCACCACCTACGTCAACATGTCATACTGGAGAAACTTATATTAATTTGAATTGAGGCTCAAAGTGGTCATACTAAGACATGGTACTAGTTGATGATGTCCCTGACTGTTGGTTTGAGCTGTGTGAGGACAAACAGACAGCCTTGGTAGGATCTTCACGATGAAAGGACACCTGGTGACATGGCTGGAAATTAGTCACAATGTCACAGATGTATTCACTCCTTGACACCTTCTAAAGCTTGAATATCCGCAATAATCTTCATCTTCAAACTGTTTATTCTCTCACATTACTTTAGCGTCATTGATATCACTCTTATTCTGCCCACTTGTACTTTGTAAGCCATCGTGATGTGACACAAGTTGAGCCGGCGTATTTATGTACGATATTTCACATTGATTTCGTCTGTCTATTTCACTTGGAAAATTTGCTTGGACAGTCCTCACTGTTCTTCTTCCTTGAAGATAATGTAGCTCATTGAGGCAGTCAGGGGACATGATGAAGATGTCACTGAAGTAAGACATATTATACCTTAGCCAAATCAAAGCTTGATGGTCCGCCTCTAACTAGAACGTCATCCGGTTTATATTTCAAGGTGGAACTGAGTATTTCTAGCAGATATCAGAAAGTTTTCGAAATTCACTTGTAAGCGAAGGCTTAAAATTAAATTATATGGTCCTCTAAAAAAGCATCTTCATTAGACTTCTCAGTACTTTTTAAATGGTTCATTGGGGAGTCAACATAAAAGTTACAAACTACATTCACAAGCAATCATTTCACTGACCGCTCATCAAAACGTCGAAATTTCACATTTATATATAAACTACTTGTTAGTAGTATACGGTTTCACTTAGTATTTTCTCAGCCAGTTGCATCTTTTGAAATAAAACCATCATCATTAGCTTCAGTATAAGGTTAGCTATCAAAATCTCTTCGTCTGTTACGTAGTAAATTGTTCTGATGGAGTGGTTTGTAACTGGTAACTTTCTTTGAATGTTACATCGTTGACTGCATAGGCTGTTTCACTATCTTATCATTCTAGATTGGGTTCATATCTATCTGCGGACTAATTGCTGACTGACTTGGACCCCAAACTCATGTGAACTCTCTGACGCTCTGTGTCTTTCCTCTGTCCAAGATCTCTACATTTTCAAAGTTGAATTCATGTTTATAGTTATCCATATGCGTTCATCTGACAAATGAAATGTCGTGATATTTATCGTCAAACCAGTGGGGTAGCAATGAGTTCACCTGTCTCCCCCATTGTGGCTAATCTATACATGCACAAAGTAGAATCAGACCTACTTAACCAACATAATTTAAAACCAAGAGTATGGTGGAGGTATGTTGATGACACCTTCGTTATAACCAAAAAGCAAGGATTAGAAAGTCTTTTTGAATACCTAAACAACCGTTTCAATTCTGTTAAATTCACGTATGAACTAGAAACAGAATTTAGAACGTTAGCTTTCCTAGACTGCAAGGTGATACGAAACAATGATGGGACACTTGACATTGATGTCTATCGAAAAGATACACATTCTAACAAGTACCTTGACTTCGATTCGGCTCAGCCATTGGAAACTAAATTAAACGTTGCCAAAAATCTGTTGACGAGATCGCAAAGGATACCAAATAAAGTGGAATCTCAGCAAGCAGATAGGCGACTTGTTCGGGAAGTCTTAAGACAAAATAACTATCCAGACAAACTATTAAAGAGGATCGAAAAAAGTTTACCGAATAAAAATATGAAAAAGTCAAGCCATAAAGATTGGATAAGTACTATAGTACTTCCTTATCGAACATCCACTTCAGAGGAAATAAGACGTATCCTTAACCGTTACAACATCAGAGTATTCTTTAAGATGACGAATACATTACACTCACACCTGTGTAAATTAAAAGATCTGACCCCCCCATTTGGAACAACAGAACTGTGTTTATAAGGTAGACTGCAGTGAATGCGATGCCACATATATTGGAGAGACATCATGTCAAGTACTAACACGTCTAGCCGAACACGGTAGAATTTCCAAAAAACCACCAAAAAATTCCTATGATCTAGAAAAACTTGAAAAAAGCTCTGCTATCTCAGCTCATGCCCTATATTCAGGTCATAAAATATCATTCGAACAGACAAAAATTCTGCAAAAGGGTTTTCTCTCTCACAAAGAGCGGACCATTGCAGAAGCTTTGCACATCTGTTCATATCCTTGTTCGGTCAACAGAAAAGATGGATTAGACGTCCCACTAATATGGCAAAACATTAATGACTCGCCTAGGCAGTTATAAATAATATCTGAAGAGAAGGTAGATTGTCTTCTCCTATTACTTAACACCTTATTGATCTACTATTTTCATCAATTTTACACTACTCTCTGAGTCATATACATTCGATGAACCATAACATAATCCATTTTCCAAATCTCCACAACCCCCTCAAAATTTAATAATCCATTTTGTTATCAGTAATACTTCAAGTGTTATCAAAAGTACATTTATGGTTATCATTATTATTATTATTTATTTAAGATATTATTGTCTCATCTTCAAATATTCATCCTTCCAAACTCGTAATCTATTCTTTCTCACTCTTGATGTCTCTCACAACCCCATTGTACTTTTCATAGACGCACTAAAAAAAATTTCCCTACACTATTTTTGTTCCACCTTACTCGTACAACGAAAAACCTCTCTTATTCACTCAGCTGTATTACATCGATCCTCGCTCTGTATCACTATGTAGTGGTCACCACTTTCTGTACCAAAACTTGAATATTAACCTGAAAACTTAATGTCAGATTCATACTCTTGAAAAGGATCTTCTTAGTAAGATCGAAACGTTGAGGAATACATACAAAATATTTGTTTATTTAGTTATTTGTTCTAATATACTACGCCGGAATTACACAAGTAAAAATACATCCTATACAATGGAGTAACCACTTTGTTGAACGTTGTGCTGATCACAACTGATTTCGCTAATAACAACTGGTTTCTCCTATTTTCTTTTAGCTTCCTTAAGTTTGCATAATATGGTTTGAGGGAATTCGTCAGTTGTTGAGTCAGACCAATTACAAATGGTCTCAGAAGTCTTGTTATGACCTTTGATGTGATCTTAATGCATGGTAGGATTGTACATTTACTAGTTTCTATGGGTGACTTTATAGTTGATGATGAACTCAATAGGTATCTACTAGCAAAGTTTCACGGGTAGGCGTTTCTCTTTAGGACAGACAAGACATCAGGTATTTTCTTCGTTTCTCCATGAAGTTGTTGTACCGTATTGTGTTCTTGCTCTTTTAAACAAAGTCTGTATACATCCGATTCTTTACGTTGTTGCCACTGTAGTTGAGGATTTGTTCGAAGTGTGTGTGTGAGTGACCAGTTCTCCGGTGTTGGTTCTGCTGACTACAACATCCGAAAATGCTAGTTTGTTGACCAACTTCCTCCGTATTGTAAATTTGACGTCTGTCAAAACGCTGTCTATCAAACTGTAGGGTTTTCTTTTTCATCTCTTCTAATGATAGCGAAAAGATCTTTCACATAGGTCAATACATATTGAATTTAGCGCCGATATTCTTGTCTAGAAAGACAATATGACATTCAGGATTGAGCGAAACAGCTCAGAGAATGCGATACACTTAATACTACCTCCTTAGTCATAAACGTTGGCCACTAGCAATATACCTTGCTGGTAGAATTTAAGTATAAGCAGAAATTCAATGCGGGGGTAACTTTAACTCTCTGGTCAGCATAGATACGCTCTATATTTACGTGCCAGGCTGTCAATGTGGAGAAGCCCTACACAGTGTGGTTAACTGCTGGTGGCTTGAGTAGCTAGCTACAGAAAACCACGGATATTTGGTTCACCGGGAATTATGGGTCAAGTCTCTTCGTTGCCTCGTTGAAATTAAACCAATACATCAACGAGATCCGTGTGCACACGATCAATGGCACAGATCTTCAAGGCAAAGACAGTCTATTGAGCCATCAGAATCCCAACCAGTGCTCTAAGGAACAGTGCAACTGAAAGGTGAGGCGAATCCAGCTTCGTAATCCCGGTAGTCATTACTGTTCCAACATTCCCCAGAGATGAGTGTAGTTTTACTTTGCGAAGGTGAACGATATTTGATGCAGAATCCTGACGTCGTTAGACCTTGCCTTAGCTGTATTGCAATAGTCCAAAGTAAGCCACATCTGTGGATCGGCTGGCATTGTAGTCTCATGAGCCAGGCCATGTAGAAGAATATCCTTTCAGGAGGATGAACTGCGCTTAAGTCTACAAAGTTATGTAGACTTCAGTGAGACGCGTAACATGCATATCTGCCCACACGAACCTATTACCCGACAAACATATATGCGCTTAAGTCTGACAGTTGGAAGGCTCATGGGATACCCCCATCAGTTTGAGAGTACGCTTACAGAATAATCTGGCAGCAGTGTTTGCTTTCTGATGGATGTTGTGCTTGGATGTTTCTTGTTCGACGAGAGGACCGATCGACCCAGTTTGTGTTAGAACTTCCGCAGATCTGAAGACTAGTATGAAACATGAAGCTGAACCAAAATTGGAAGTGAAACTTTAGATAAGTGTAAAGTGAAAAGTTCCATTTTGAAGTTTAGGAAAAACGAGCTGACCGAAGAAAGTTCTTTCTCCGAATATGTAACTTCCTTTAAAAGCACTACAGCAAAAAAGAAGGGAAATGACACATAACTTTGAAGGGTGTACTAGTCAGATCAATATGGCCTATCGACAGTGCATGACAGTATGAAGAAAGACATAGATCTTATCTCTTATTCACCTAATCACAAAACATCAACTTCTAAACATGACTGATGAAGTTGCCTCACTTTAGGCTTAGTGTGACCGACTATATGGCAGCTGTTGAGTTCTTCTGAAAGTTTGGAGGAGATGAAATTAGACAATCTGTCTTTGATGTGAAAACTAGACTGAAGGAGATGGAACATAACTTTTCTACATTAAAAATTATTTTGATAATTCTTCCTAGATAAAACATGATTTGAGCAACTATGATTTTCTTGTTGGCTTCTGGCAGTCTGAGTTTCTTCGATAGTCAGTTTGTATGCTTGGTTAGGTAAGAAACTTTCAATGAAATACTCTAAACTACTTGTAATTTACTCAGTAGTAATGTTAAACGAAGATTGTTCAACTGTCGTCACTCTCTAAAGAAAGAAGTGTGAATGGTGGATAGACATAAACCGAAGAGTCACAGCTAAGATGGTAGCATTGTACACGTGTTTGATTTCAATCTGAAACTCCTCCTCTACAATGTGCATCCACTACCCTGTGAAGGATCAAGCTGAAGGCGATTAGGTCATTATCCATTCTCTGAGTTCCAATACCAAGATTCCCGTTGCCCCAACTATTTTTCTGTTTAAAATAATTAGTTCCGTTGATAAAACAATAAGAAAACGTAAACTTTCTGAACCATGTGATGTATTTATGCAACACATTCGATTAGGTCGCTGACTACAACACTGGTGACTCGGGTTCGAGTCTCAGATGGGATATCACTTCCGTTGAGGTTGCAGATACGCCTTGCTGGTAAGTGCCAATAAACACGAAACCTAGATAAGGCAAGGCTTATGCCAATTGTCCCCAACTAATCAATGTCGACATTCCAAATAATATCAGCAGACACGTACATGTCACAGGTATATGACAATTTATAAATGGAAAAGGGATGAGAATTTGAAAGAAGGCGAAGGAGGAGGTTAAATTAAAGTCTAAATAATAATGAAAGTCAACAGAGTAAAAATAATAGTACACATAAAAGTGACTTAAACTTCCTAATAGATAAGTGCATCGACAAAGTTAAGGACCCATTCCCAACATGTTTTGCGAAAATAGGCCTGAAGAAAGTAGACGTGCTTGGCTACTGGATGTATGTCACCAACGTTTATAGATTCAGGTGACTGGATTTCCTTCTGAACCAACTTCGAAATATGCATAGAAGCCGGATACGTTTTATTGATCTTTAAGTCCTGCTTATCTAACTGTCACTGTCGTTCATATGCTGTAAGGGTTAGGGAGAGTTTGCAGGCTTCGCCGTTTCAATCAATCACACTCTAACTGCACATCAAGTCCTTCCAGCAGCAGCGTCAGATCTCAACTCATGGAATTTACCCTGAGTGTCACCTTTGTAAAGAAGACTGATGAAGACGTCTCTTTTAAAGACAATGTGAAGAGCATGTTTCGGCGTTTTCGCTACTTCGTGCCGACCAATACCGTTGCTGTGCGCTTCATTCAGTCGATTTGGCAGCGAAGTGGACTGATTTGAGTTATCATAAGTAACTAGGATATCATCGACATAGATGAGCTTCCTCAGTCCTTTTTGCTACTAAATTTTCCATGTGTGACACAACTGTGTCTGGTAAAAGATGGCCAATGGGACCTTCTATAACAACACCATCAACCTAATGGACATATTCACTTTCAAATGTGAATTTGAAATTGGTTGGATATGAAATTAGTAGGTGATTATGCATAAAAATGCATAACATACATACATGACATGTCAATGGTCTTAACTATAGAGAAATTAGTGAATAAATAGGGGAGTGTGGATGGAATGGACATCGTCAAGGTATCTGATTACTTCAAGTGTGTCTGTTTAGGCATACCCACATAACCTCTTCTTAATTGGATCAGGTGGTTTCACTAGTCATTGGACAAGCCCATACGTCGGTGATTTGCACATTGACATTATCGGACGTAACAGGTTGTTGGGTTTGGGTATTTTAAGCAAGCCATACAGATGTTAGAGTTGCAATTCAGTTGGGTTTAATGAATGAAATATTTTTACGTGTTGCTACGCAGGGTTGAATTCCTTGACCTTTGTTGGTAGATACCTCGATACTACTGAATATTCCTGAATATACACGTTGTACAACAGCTGTCAGTCACATCTCAGTGTTTTAGTAGGTCACATGTTGGTGTTTAAGGCGATAGGTACAGAGTTGCAGCCTCAGTGGGGCCAACATTAGTGACTGATAGGTAGATACATCCAGCTGGCTAATGTTCCTAACAAGAAGTCCCACAACATTAGTGATGATAGTTCCCTGTTATATTTGAACTTCTTTTGAGAAACAGTCTTCTAGAGTAGAAGATAATTTACATATATATTCGATTTTATCCTTGATCGCCAAACCTGATCATCTCACTGGAAGATAGAGAAGCTCTTGTCCAATACACTTCGGTTTTTCAGTACTCCACCGGTTGACACTAGTTTATGATGTAAACAACTTTGACAAATATTAATGATGGACAGAATGGTTAGCAGGGGAATGCAGAATGCGCATTTCATTTTATTTGGGACTCGTGATCTATATGTACTTGCCTTTCCTCCCCCCCCCCTCCCCCAATGAGTGATGCTGTTTTAGCTCAGACTCGAAACTGACACCTATCGTATCAGATGTCAGAGGGTTACCCGGTATGCCACCAAGTCACAGTATTTGTAATACAGTTACAACATACTTTCACAGATAGTATTATTGCTAATATTATAACGTCGTAGAGTGGATTGAAGTGATCGGTCTCTATTAGCCTATGGGCTCCTGTAAGGATGCTTCGATATGAACTGTGTACTAGTGATGGATAGTGGCTTGCAGTGGAATCCAGGATGCACATTTCTTCCTATTTGGGACTCGTCAGTTAGATGTACCTGGCTCCCAGTGAGTTATGTCGTTCCACCCGAACTCGAACTCAGGACAATTGCTCCAAGCGCCAGAGGGTTATCCACTAGACTACCGAGTGAAGATAACCTCTTCTTGTGCAATGGGTATAGTTTAAGCATTATTGCTTGTATTATAAGATTTCAATGGTAGCCACTATCCATCTTCGTGATAATTGGAACACAAGGAATATCAACGCATCCACACAGGAGCGCATATATCAATAGAGACCGATCAATTCGGTCCACTCAACGATGAGGTAATACAAGTAACAACTTTAAACTATACCCATCGCACAAGAAGTGGCTATCGTGGCTCCATGGTGTGCTGGATAACCCTCTGGTGTTTGAAGCGATCGGTCCTGGGTTCGAATCCCGGTAGATGGTAAATACATTCAGCTGAAGAGTCCCAAATAGGACGAAATGCGCACTATCCATCAATATTCAATTCATTTATATATTCTCCTTTATTGAAATTCTTTTTTTTTCTACAGCATGAACGTAATATTATTCATCGTGATATTAAAGCAGAGAATATACTATTCGCGTATAACTTTCAAAATTTATGTCAGACATCAATGAATATAAAAAAACAATGTGGTAAATTGAACAAAGAAAATTTGAAAAATCGTAATTACTTTGGTGATAAACTACAAAAACTACTTCGGTATAGATCATATTCAAATAAAAGTAGAATTTATGATTTTTCAAATAAAGATGATACTTTTCAGTCAGCACAAACAGAAAATAATAATGAATTGAAGCGGCAAAATTATAATCAACAGAATATTTCAAATTATCCATATGATAATAAACTAATCAGAGATGATTTTAAACAAGCGTATAATAACATCAATTGTAATTCATTAAATTACACTCAAATGAATCAATGAAGAAGAATAAATCCGATAATTATGAACATTTTGATGATGATTTGAATATAAATGGTAATTTTGATTTGATCTATACAATTTATTCATGATATATAGTTTTCTAGAGGTTAAAAATTAACAATTCTAAGTTCAATCATTGGTATATACCGCACTGATGAGTTTCAAACTGGGATGAAACATTTTTCTAGTGATATTCAATTTTCAATGATTACCTAACTAATTACTATTCATGATAAAAATCTTTTAATCATTGTGAACTCATTGAATAAAGGAGAAATTTCTTTCCTTTGATATTATCAAGTTATTTTGCATACTTTTTAGGGTAAAAATGAAATAGTCAAAAGGGGATTAGAATGAACAGCAAGACTTTAAGGTTCTGAAACCAGCACCTAGGTTTCTAATGTTTCTCTAACTGATATCAGGAAATAAATAAATCCCTATGAACCTCTAGATTGAACATTGTATCTCTGTGTTTTAAGATACTTCAGTGGATCGCCATCTCTCTATAATTTGGCAGTTCTGATCTAATCAATATAACATCATAGCTGATGATATCTCATCTTCTTATCAGCTAACAATTCATATCTCTTATGATAAAAAACAAAAAAGCTATATCAGTGAATAATTGAACAAAGATTTTTAGATTCTACTAGAACTGATGAATGAGTATATCAGAGAAGTGTCGTTTTCGACATAATTAGAAACTGAATTGTGATCAGACAGAGTTATAGTAACAAGAATGACTGGCAAATTACTTAAACAGTGAATTGTGTCAGAACGAAAAATGAAAAGAGCGAAAGAGGTAGGAAAGATTTCAATAACTTAGAACAAAGACCATGAGGGAAGAGACAGTTGAACAATCTTCTTTTATGTACAGTTCAGGCTTCTGCGTGTAGATGACAAGAGCTTCGGTGATGCAGAGAATACGAAGACATACAGTATTTGGAAGGTTTGTTTTCATTTTACAGGTGACTTCCAATGGGGTGGTTCTTGAGATAAGTTGATTTGTGTTCATGATGTGTTCACTTATAGCACTTCTTACCGCTCCATTGTTACCTCTTTGTAACCACAAGGGATAGTGTTCTTGAACGCTTCTAGATAACAGTCGCATTGAACGATCTATATACCTGGCTCCACAAGAACAGTGAACTGATATATGTACAAAGGAGTAGTTAGATGTGAAAGTTTCTCCTTTGAGTTGTTAGAAATCGTTGGGCGACAAGAGAATAGTCTTGGCGATGATGCAAAGAATGTTCTTCTTACAGCGTTTGATATCCTCCATTTTACAGTATAAGTGGTAGAATCACCTTTGAAGTTCAGATTCATATACAGTGTCTTTTTTGGCATGACGGTAAGGTTCTCTTTGCGAGGTTTAGGTTTGATGTGTTTCTCTATGAAGCGTGATGGAAATCTGCTTTCAATCAGTACGTTCTTTAGAACAAAGATTTCCTCTTCTAACACCTTTGGACTGCAGACTCCTCTAATGCGAGTGGCAAGAAATATGATCAGATTTCGTTTGCAACTCATAAGGACTCAGCTATTAAAGTTCGTCAGTCGACTACTCCATATTGGTTTTCTCTGAATTGAACTACTTAACATCTCATCAGCTGTTAATGTAAGGATCAATCTAATTGCTGAAAAGGCAGTTATTGAATATTTGTAGAACATAATTCAAATCATGTTGATGATCATAGATAGTAAAAGTGTCGTCCATATACCTTTTGTACAGATGAAAACCTTCGATCGTTGATTTCAAGGGTCCGTTCTCCAAACTAGTCATAAAGCAGTCTGCTAGTAGTGAAACTAGTGGGGATCCCATGGTGATTACATCTTTCTATCTATAAATCACGTCGTTAAATGTGAAGTGAACGTTAAATGTGCATCTAAGTAACAATTCCTTAAGGCGGAATGTCAGTATTCCAACATTTATGTTGTTATAGGGTCCAGGTTATGCAGATAACAGATTTCTATTGATATTTTTACAAGTTACTCTGGGCTTTCGAAGATATCTTAAATAAAATGTTATAATCGATCCTGAAGAACTATCCAATTAGATGCTCATAAATGGTGTCTACACAGAATTTCTTGATTCTTTCAAGTACTCTGATTAACTTTTAACATCTTCGATAACTTTTCGCTAGCCTTTGTACTTTGGGGGGAGAGAAGTTGAAGTCGTTGAATAAGATAACTAGGAATTATTCATCTTTGGGTATACTTACAATCCGAACTGATGCCTATATATACGGAACAAATACACTCGAAGCATCCGTGTGAGATGAAACTGCTGAGACTTACCATATATATATATATATATATATATATATATATATATATATATATATATATATATATATATATATATATATATATATATATATATATATATAGTATCATGAATGCTATCAGGTGTTTATTGTTCTCAGTACCCATGTGTTTTGAAGTTGGAAAATGCTGAACAAAACGGTCGTCCGGTGTTTAGATCACTCTAAATTGGCTGCTGGAAGAAACCAACAAATCAACCCGGGTAGTTCCAAATTAAATACTGAGGTTTTTCAGTGGTTTAACTCTTCAGCAGTATACAGTTACGTTTTAAATGATGAGAGTCGGCTGACGCTACGAAGGGCTTCTTATTCTAACCACAACAACTAAACGTAATCGTATAAGCTTAACTAAAGTGTAACGAAATATTTTTTTTTAAAAAAATCAAGAGAAGTACAATTGAAATTATTCCATATCTTTCTTGAAAAGAAAAATTGGATTTCAGGCCACAACAGAGTAGTAACCGAGTATAATCACATTTCAGTATTTAAACAACATTTCAAGGCTTTAACCTGATTGGTTGGTAAAGAATTACGTGGGTGTATGATGAATCTAATTGGTTTATATTCCTCGTCTATGTCCTTCAATAGGTCACAAGTTAAACACTTCTAACGGACATGAATTTAACTCAGAGTTGTAGTTTCAGTGTTGATTATTAACCGACAGCCAAATAAACCAGGATCAAACGTTTCTAATGATTAACTCCAGGTACATGTAACATCAGAGAGTCTATTAACGTGTGAGTGAAATTTGAAAGCTGTCAAAACACCAAAACCGTAGCATAAGATAGTTTCCACATAAATCGTCTTAAAGGAAATAACTAGCTACATAAGATGTTTTAGATACTTGTCTGATTGTTTTATCGATTGGAGACAATAATTTTCCGGCCATGTTATTCACAGATCATTTCCTTTTTGGTAATTTTAAAAGTGGAAGCATTTACTGTAAATGTGTCAATGCGGACGATTAATGCAAATGTAGTTGTCATGATACATCAGTATTATCAAGAAAACTGTTGGACTGCTGTAACACTCAAGTTTAAAGCTTTTCAACAGTGCGCAATTAGGACCAGACAACATGAAATTGATTACCTTTCAGTGACTAATCAATGTACCTCATCCATTTCTATAGAGGTTAATCGTGACAGGAATAGTCCAATGGTAACATATCTGACTGCAGTAGTGGGTGACGCCTGTTCAAATCTCAGATGGTAAAGACCTCATTTTTGCAGAGGTTGCAGATAAGCCTTCCTGATCAGTGCCAAAAAACAGAAAGTCTTGGCGCAAAGCTTTCAGGTGATTTCCTCCATCCAACTTACCCACTCATAGCTTGGTAGGACTTCAAATAATGGCTTTCACGTTTTAAGGTTGGCATGCTACCATCCACGCGTTGAGATGGGATCTGTGGATTTCATAAACAGTGTGATTACCAACTAATGTTGTCGGTTGAAATTTATCTTCAAATCCCTACTTAAATCTTTTGTCGAAAATGTGGGACATTTAGTTCTAAATACGTAAAGCGAGAGTTGACGGCTTGTTATCTCGATCACAAACCAAGTAATCAATGAGCACTTAGCATGGAACAGCTGTTCATTGCTCTTCACTTATCTTCTAACTACTATGGTTGATCCATGGTGAAAACTGCTTCGGGATACAGAATAAAATTAATTTGATGCCTTTTTTTCTTTTAGGTTTATGCCCTGATCATTATCGTGTCAAGTTAGTCGATTTCGGCTTTAGTAAACTCATCAAAGATCCAAACCAACAGTTAACAACATTCTGTGGATCACCTGCTTATGCTGCTCCAGAATTATTTCAATCTCAATCGTAAGTTAAGTCGTTTTCCTCACATCAAATATGGAAATTGTGTTACAGCTCCGAATTCGTGTCAAGTTCATGAAATTTATTTTAAAATAATCACTTAAATAACCAAATGAAGTTCCCAGGATATAAAGTAGGATGGAAGTTAAAGCAGTACGACTCCAGTTACTTGTCAAATGATTTACCTACTTACTTATGTATCAATGAATAACAAAATGTTAAATTTTGGCTGACTTAAACAAAATGGTAATTCGCACACACCTGTGACCAATCGAATATGTGTATATCAAATATCTAAGATACTTCAGTCGTGATTGGTCAACAAATGGTCTTGAAAGGTATACTCGATTTTGATTGGCTTAACACATGAAGTAGAAACAACGAATATAGCCAATCAGATTTCGTTATTTTGCTTGGAAAGATAGATTTTCATGGAAGAAAGAAGTTTGATTGGTTATAAAGATTAAACCAGTGCATTCTTGATAGATTCTTCATTTTCAATTTCTGTAAACACTTTAGTAATAAGGCCTTTTTTATTATTTTACTTCGATGAAAGAAAACGCATATGAAGAAGTGAATACTATCAAAAGAATAAATTGTATAGGCTTGTCTCTTGACTGACAGACACTGTCATCAGGATAGACTTTATCAACACTGCTGTAATCTTGAAAAGTTACTTCCTTCAGTGAATTGATCAGAGGGTTTTTTAGTAATAGAAACATAAATAAGTCAAATTAACCTATAGATTCATATAGTAAATAGAGATAAATGAGAGTTTATATTGACATTTATTAGTAAAGAGTATCTGGAGTTCGATTTCAACCAATAAGCGAAAAACTCCTGATCGGTTGTGAGCATCTGTTAGCCGTCTAATATACGAAGTATGGATCTTCTTTTTCAGGTTAATATAGTGAAATAATAGACACCTGCCACTGATTGAAGTTAAAATGTAACCTTAAATTGGTTGAAGTATCCAATGGATGATGTTCACATATATCAACAGTCATCTTACTATCATTGTATACTCTTGACAATATTTTGCATGCTACTTTGTCAATGATAAAAAGAGACAAGAATTAGGTGAATTGTACTTTCAAGTAGATATTCATAGTGTCTGTAGTCTTAACAACGAATACCAGTTGATTTTTAAGTAGATTCAAAGAAACTTCTGTCTATAAACCCCTAGTTCCAATTACAATGTGTACTCAGAGGTTACTTTAGGGGAACATCCTGTAAAAAAGGGTATAATTACGGTTATTTGTTAAACAAGGAGGTAATAGTGATGGGGGAGTTTCAGGATCAATAAATCACGATACTTTCAGTACTATAATACTACTGGATTCCTTGCAAATATATATATATATACAGACACTCAGCTCCTCATTTTCACCGGTATTAGACGACTGGACATGTGAAGACCCTATAGTTGAGGTTACTGAAGCAAATAGTCATATAGAGTGCATTGAATACACCTCTGAAGAAACTTCTTTTGAAATGTGAATCCTATCTCACGATTCCTCAGTGTTTAGTTGTTATCTGACAGAGTTGGCTCCATTTCTAGACAGGTGTTTGAAAGGTTTCTACTTTAGAGAATTCACAAAAAAATAATGTAACCTCTGACCACCTGATTAGACTTCTAGTTGTAAGTCAGTAACTAGTAACTGTCTCAAGTATAAGAAAAATATTTTTTCTAGGTAACGCAGCTAAAGCTTCCCAACACTTTTAAATGAGATGACAAACGATAATAATGGATAGTTGCTAACAGTGGGATCCAGGACGTGTGTTTCCTTCTGCTTGAGATTGGTCAGCTGGATGTCCCTGTCACCCAGTAAGCGGTGTGGCTCCCACGACTATTGGCTCCAAACGACAGAGCGTTATTCATCATTACTATCAAGCTGAAAATACATGCAATAGTAGGGCATAAGAGTAGGAGCGCATATACCAATATAAACCGATCAGTTTAGTCCAACCACAACATTAAAAGTATACCCATCGTATAAGAAGTAGATATCGTGACTCGGCTTCCCAGTACTCCTTGATTCAAGTCTTAGTGGGAACCAAATCAATCACTTGCGGGGGGAGGGGGTACATCAAGCTGACGAGTAGCAAATACGACGAAAAGCTAATCCTATATCTGATGCTCACCACTATCCATCGTTCATGTAAAACCCAAATAAAGGCAATATTGAGTCATCCGCGTAGAGCCCCCTCTACCAATAGAGATCAATAAACTTGATCCAGTCAACGCCAAGAAATTAAAAGCGATAACATGCGATAACAAACCGCCTTGAATCTTTCTCAATTCCGTAAGCATTCATACTTGGTGTAACAGGTTCATCAACGTCTAAGACTTCAATCGGTGGCATTAATGATCGCCAAAAATTGCGGTGAATCTGGGTTGCACTAGAGAATGATAAGAATAAAAGAAGGTACTGTAGGAAGAGAAGTATTCGTGTCTGCATAAGCTATCGGTAGGTGACTACAATATGGCCTGTATGAGTTCACATTTGTGTGGCGTAGAACGGATCACCATGAAGGTCATGAGTGATAAGTGTGATGTATGCTGATTGTGGAGGGAAAGGAGGTCGGGCTCACCAACGGTGTACTAGAGAAACGGCTGTCTGGCGTTTAGACGACTCTCATCTTGCCGGAGAAATCTACAGACCAGCTAAGGTAGTTTCTAACTACTTAAATCGTCTAGTAGTGGCATAAAAAACCGAAAGTTTTCCTCCCATCAATTTTATCAGATCAGATGTGTACAGTGTTATTTTTTACTGTGTGGGGATGTTGCATCATGAAAAGTTTACTCTCTCTCTCCAAATATTTCTGATTGTTTCCCTTCCGTATGTAGTTATCGTGGTGGACCAGTAGACATGTGGGCTCTTGGTATTGTCTTATTCTTCATGCTGACTGGTTTGCTGCCATTTCGGGGTTCAACTGTTGGACAAGTAAGACGATTAGTACTAGACAATTGTGGTTTACAACCACCGGACAGTTTATCACCAGCTGCAGCTGATCTGTATCGTAACTTGACAGCTCGTTCGCCTGATATGCGTCCTACAACCTCACAACTGATTAAATATGCACAATATGCTAGGAAAGATTTATCAACCATTGAAATCTCTTTACGTCAACGTTCAACATGGACTAGTTGGTTGGCTGGTCAAACATTTCCTAAACCATTGCCTCGGTTCAAACATTGTCCTCCGGTAAGTTGAATTACTCTGTCATTAGACAAATGAATGTTAACCATTTTTATCTGCTTGGTAGTGACTATCAGGAGAATCTAGAAAGCTAATTTTATTCTGCTTGAAATTAGCTGGCTGAATGCAACATAATCACAGTTACTGTTAATGTGTTCCGCTATTCATCCGTAATATAAGAATGAAACTGTTCGTTCTAACGAGTCATCCGCGCATGATCACAAATACCAACAGAGATCAACTATTTCGGTTCAAAACAATCAACAACCTGAAATTACAAATTAAATTCGCAAAAACTACCCACTGCACGACAAGTAGCTCGCATCACTAGCCTATTGGTTAACACTCTGGTATCTAAAGCAATGAGTGCTGACTTCGAGTCCCGGAGGAGAGGGGTAACGACACTCCCTACAGTGCAGATTCACACAATGAGTCGTAAATAAGATGAAAGTTTATTGATAAATAAATAGATGAACAGGACATGGATGTCGATTCGAACCTGTATATACGCACTCAATCGTTACTTCTATTCACAGTTCAATATGTGACCATGGAACCTATATATCCTAGATTTCATCAGTGATGTTCACTCCTAGGAAGTCTCATACTATTTTGGTACAGTTTTCCTAACCTCCTAGGTTTTCAATGGTTCCCCAACTGATGTCAGTACATGATAAATAATAACTTAAAATCAATCTATAAATCCTCACAATGAATATAAATATAAACCTTGGGCAATGTGATAGGATGGAATTCTATGTTTGATTTGTTCATTTGATTTATAAAACACAATGAATGACACAGTATTCGTTACTGGATGATGTTTCCAGCATAAATTATCGCTGCTCACAATCCCATCAATATAAACACAGTACTGATTGGTCACGGAAGTGCAACCAATTTCATGTTGTCTAATCCTGAGTGCAGACTGAATCCTATCGATCATATTTGCAATGTAGCAACCAAGCTAGGAAGCTCAGCATTGCGGTGCACAAATAGCTCAGCGGTAAAGTCGCTGACCGTAATACTGTGTAAAGCGGGTTCAAATCTCAGGCGGGACATCAGTTTCGTCAAGGTTGCAGATACGCCTTGCTGACGAGTGTCAGAAAGCACGTAACCTAGGTCAAACAGGGTTTCCTGCCGATTGCCTCCAACCAACTAACATAATCACAGTACTTTCAAAATCAGATTTTTATAGTCCTATCATATCATATTATTTGTTTTGAGTGATAGTAAAGTTCTCCATATCTCTTGTATAGGTGTTGCATCATTCCTAGTACAAATGTGTTGGGTGATGTTGATTTCATGAACAAAGATTCAGTAATCAATTCCCTCCTCTCTCCGGCTAATCATATTGGATATGAGTACAGTGGTTCTATCCCACCCACCCTATTGTGTGATTGTGTGTTAATGTATGTAATGAATTGCAATAACCGAGTACTTTTTATAGATTATTGATCTTATTCAGGTCTATCGTTCTATATTTAACTAAATTCCTGTATTCGGCTATTCTATCTGACACTGACCGGTTAGCTTGACTTATGTACTTGACCTGACTCATAGTCATTACATGGAATTCTACAGATTATATTACTTTGCTTAATTGGTTCTATTGGATCCTCAACCAGATTATCCCATTAGACCAATAATTGACTTCAGAAGTACCACAACATATGAACTAACAAAGTACTAAGCATCGATATTCTGTCTTACTAGGAACCGTTCAGATTATATACTAGTCAATTCTCACGAGTTCAAACTAAGGCTTAATAACCTACATATAGAAAAGGATGAAAAAAATGATTGGCTTCGATGTAATAAGTCTTTATCCTGAAATGCCAATTAGTATGACACTGGAGGTAGTCAGAAGTCAATTAAAAAGTGACTCAGGACTTACTTACAGAACTAAGATATCGGTTGATGTGATCATATTAGGCGTACAGTTGTGTCTGACCTCCACAGTCTACACGTTACAGGACAAAATACATAGACAAATAGAAGGAGTGGCAACGCAATCACCAATATCCCCAATCGTAGCAGATATATTGATGAATAGTTAGAAACAAATGAATTTATGAACGTTGAGTACTGCACCTAAGATATGGTAGTGGTATGTGGATGACACATTTACTGCTATATTGAAATCGACAATTTCCTCACACAGTTCAATTCACTAACGAGGAGGTGGAAAATGAACAAGGAGAATCACCTATATTGGATTGCAGGATAAAACGAAGGACAGACGGTGGTTTGGATATTACCGTCTACAAAAACCCGCCACATTCCAACAGGTATCTAGACTTCAAGTTATCCCATTCAATGTCAGTTAAATGAAAATTTGTCAAATGTCTAAATGATACAGCTAGGAAACTGACTAGTCAGTGCAAGGACATAAACAAGGAACTGAAACACGTAAAAGAAGCGTTACTAATTAATAATCATCCTCTACAGTTCATTAAGGAATTCACATAAGAAACGAAAAGATAACAGTAACATGAATACAAATATTAACTACAACACAAGTGGAAATAAGTTCAAAGCCTCCACTGTGTTACCCTATAAGGAAAGTACATCAGAAACTTTACGTAGAATCCTCAACAAAGGTGGAATTAGGGTGGCATTTAAACATACAAACACACTCAGAGATGCGCTTTGTCGGCTAGCTTCAGGATCTGATAGAACCAATTAAGCAACATAGTCTAATCTATTAAATTCCATGTAATGACTATGAGTCAGGTCAAGTACATAAGTCAGACCAGCCGGTCGGGGTCAGTTAGAATAGGCCAACATAGGAATTTAGCTAAATATAAAATGATAGACCTGGATAAGATCAATAATCTATAAAAAGTACTCGGTTATTGCAATTCATTACATACATTAACATACAACCACGCAATAGGCTGGGATAAAGTAGAAGTAGTAGTAGTGTAGTGGGCGTTGCTGCTCACAGTAGATGGATATAAGTAGTATATGTTGACATGGCGACAGAAATCATAGGCAACTACCAGAAATTGGTAAAGATTAGGCTCAGAGAAACGCATGAGACAATGTGGGCGTATTAATAGCAAGTCAAGATAGAAGCAGAAGATTAAATGAAGCACATTGTGCAAATGACTATAGTAGTGGAAAGTTTGCAGTATTTGATGACTGCGTCTCAGTCTTGTTGTTTCGTACAATTCTCTTAACTTGAAATGATCACCTGTATGAGTTAAGATCATCCTGTTAGTATGGGATACTTCAGTTCATATAGTGTCATTAGAAGACAAAGGTTATGTGAACAATGTGTGAGTGATGTATTTACGCAACATATTTTGAAAAATCTGATCACCCATTTACTTTTCAATTATTATTATTGTTATTATTTATTATTTGTCCTTTGGGTTCTAAGTGGGACATAGGGCTTCAGTAGAACGTCTACCTTCCACTCTCTTCTCTATATTCTTATCTTCTAACCTGGATCCAGCACTACCCACAGCCTTTCATTTCTTTCTCACACCATCTCCTCCATGTCACTCTCACCTCAGACGCCCAACTCGTCGTTTCCCATTTGTGTTCTACTGGACAACCTGATGCGTGATGTCCCTAAATGGTCTTTTCAATATATTATGCCCGATCCACGTCCACTTTCTTGCTTCTAGGGACATCATAATAGCCACTCCAAAACTCAGTGTGCTTGTAGTTGTCATCTGGATGACAATATCGGAGTAAATTATTGACTCTCCAGTTGACAGTTTAGAGAGTCCACTTCCATTTCATCCACTTTCGCAGATTCCTAACACTTCTATACCATATCTTCTGATCAACTGAGAGAAGACACATCAGCCGATTGGCTACCCGAAGGCTTTCACCAACTAGCGTCATTCCGTCTCCCTGATTCCAGCGAGGAATAAGTTTAATTTTATGTTTGATATTTTCTTTGTGCTTTGAAGTTTCTTTAGGGGTTAGATTGGTTTTCCGGGGTAGGTTTGCTAGACCTATGCCGAATCTTCCCTCTTTATCCAGGCTTAGGACCGGCTAGTAACTAGTGAACTAGTTAACTAGACGAGGTTTACTTGTCAAGTAATTTTATATTATTTAACCGAAAAACAGAACAGTTAAGATAAAGGTGGGGGATTGAAATTAAAACAGATGAAAACAAAAAGGAAGCGTGACGTAACTAACTAATCGTAATTTTGGTAAGTGAAAAAAGTTTTCCAAGGTATGTGCAGTATAAGGAGCAATTGGTTTTGTACGCACAAACGTGTATTCCATGTGTGTACGCCTATCGTTTTCGCAACAGCCACAGTATGCGTCCATCATGGTTTATAAATAAAACTTTTGAAAGGTGTTCAGACATTAAATTCGATGATCCATTCCTATAATATGTTTGGCTATAGACGAAGAGGGTTGTCTCTCACCTACACTTATCAAAGTTTCACACTCCATTTTGTTTCTGAAGCCATTTAGGTACATGTTCTACCCTCAACTGCATTGCTTCATTACGCCTCCCTATGTATATGTGACCACACACACATGTAAGTTGGTTAACACAATGGGATGTGATGTAATCACTGATGCAGTGAAAAGGTTTGTAGTGAAGCGTATGTTTTGTTTTTTGCCACAATAATTATATCAGCTACATAATATGTTTTCTTAATAGCTGATGTCAGCTGAGTGATATGAACACTTTTCTTAGGAACTATGTATAGAGTTGGCTTCGGTGCAGCTTGACCTCTACAAGAGTTTATAAACTTGAACACATATCCGTTTTCCATATGCGTTTTGGCCATCAATTGGACATCTTGATCCATCGTTTCTGTTGTACAGATACGATAAATTCTATTAAACAAACATTTTACTAGATCTCACAAGTATTGGATCGGACAAAACCGTGAAAATTCAGATATTGTCCTGTCTATATAAGCTTTCTGTAAACTCCTCGTCTTATTGAACCATCTTCTTGTCAACTGAGGAGTATATCTAAGAATGGCTAGTGATTATTATTCACTTCCTCACAAGTTACGCTGATGGGAGTTTGTACGGTGTCCAGTTTTTTTAGCAGACAAGCCATATCCTCATACTTTGCACAAATCACTGTGATTTCTTGGAAATCGCCTTTATATAAAGAGAAACTTTAACAATGGGATCAACAACCAGGAATTTCGATATATATATGACGTATAAATGTCACCTTATTTAATCGAAGATGATAAACAATGTGAGCGAAGAAATATTTCTTTTCAATTAGTTCCTCATCAGTGGCTTTACACTAATATAACATTTTCAAAATGTTAAATTATACACCAATCTAATGGTGAGAGTTGTTCAATGACAAATTATCAATCTCAAAGTATCAAGAAGGTGATCATTTATTAGGTAAATGAGACAACTAACTCAATCATAGATTAATTATAGTAGAAGGATTTTGTGAACAGGTTCCAACATAATTGATATTTTGTATAATAGTAACTAAAGAGAGAAAATGAACTGTTACCTAAAGTGGTAAATTGTTCACGGTAATTAGAGACAGTAGGGGGGGGGAAAGAAGATGGCTAAATCTGTAATAACAGTAACAATAATGGAGGTTCCAATGAGAAGTCGTGACCGGTGAAGGCAAAGCCTGATGGCCATGAGGACAGTTACTCAACGATGACATTGGGTGGAGGTTGTGCTATATCATGAGCTAACAAAAGTTGGAAATATGAACCATTGGATTCTGACCCAGTGGCTTAATGGTAACTTGTTGGCCACGGAACCTGAAGATCGCGGGTGCGCACTGCTGAGGAGTCCCATAATAGGATGAAAGAGCTGTCCAGGTTTCTAATGTTGCTCGAACTGATGTCAGTCTACAACGAATAACAACTTGAAATATTTCCAAATCCCACAAAATTCAATAATAGAGGTATTAAAATATTAGTTATAATCATTTGTGGGATGAATGAAAGAAAAATGGTGTTGTTGTAATAGATAAACTAATACAGATGGTCAAGGCAAAGAAAGAGGCTGTACGAATTTCTCCTGAACACACAGACTTGGCTTGTTTAGGTGGATTCCTATGACTTCTGCTGTATGCAAAAGACGAACTCGTAGAGTATGGGCTAAATTAGAAGAAATGTGATAAATAACTTTAAAGGCGTTATGAATATTAACCCAATGGCCAGTGTCAATCAGATGCGAGAGTATTGAGCTTCTTATCGATCTGGTTTGCCCTTTACTTAGCAATGAAAGATGATGCTCGATGATTCGACGACGGACTTGCCTAGCTATGCGTCCAATGTAACTCTAGCTCCACAGAAGCAACTAAACCGGTAAATGTACATAGAAGAGGAGAAGTCAGGTAGTCTGTCTTTGGTTTGCGTGCTCATCATCGGTCGACTGTAGAACACACAGCATACCTTAGCCACATAAAATGATCTTATCATGGCATTTCTTAGGCACTGTGTTACAATTTCGCTGAGGATGTCACCTCGAAAGTGTAGTCTTAGGAACAATAGTTTCTCGGAGACTGTTGATATTTTGGTTTTCATATTAGACATGTCCATATTTTTAGTGAGAAACGTTTCTAGATATCTGTTATCACTGAGTAGATTGAGGATAATTTGAAGTTCTTCATCAAAAGTATCATCTGAACAGATGAGTCTAGCCTGATGGATCAAACATTTGACTAGATTTTGTTTATACTGAAAGGGGGAAGAAACTTTAGAAGTGGGTGTATTGACCCATTGATGTTGGTTTCCGACATACACTTCTTTTTACAGTTTCATCTGCCTTTCTTGTCAATTGGACATCTAAGAAGGTGAAGCTGCCGTCATTTTCTCTCTCATTGGTGAAGGTTATCGCTGGATAAATGCTATTAAATTTATTCAGTATAATTCTTGTTTGTTTTACTAAATGTCTAAATGGGAATTTTCGCGTTAATCTAAGATAACATGAAAACTTGGTGGATAAACGTTTTTGCTCAAACTAATATGAGACGGACCTTTACTGAATAGGGATTTTAGCAATTACCTTTCAGCATGTTATATTATAATTTTTAAAGTATCATAATCAAGAAATCTTCAATTTTTTATTTCATTCAAAATACTTAATTGCTTTTCAGCTTCCTTCAACTCTTAGAGCTCAACAGAAATCATCACCGCCACGACCATCAACATCATCTGAAAGTAAATCAGCCAGTAATCAAATTGACCAAAAACTATCAGTTCATCAAAACTCTTCTTCAACTACTAATCATCAAATGCTTAATTCAACAGAAACACTTACATCTTCACTAGTCAATAATCAATCAGTAAATACTACTAATCATAACCAGAATAAATCAGTAGTCTGTGAAAATAATCGAAAATTACGTAAGAAACTATCAAAATGTCAAACTATAACAAAAGATTCATTAGATAATGATGAAGTAGAAGCAGCTAACCTGCTACTTAATTTGGGTATAACACCTGAAGAAATACAAAGTTCGCATAATTATGAGTCAAGAAGTGCTGTAACTGGAGCATATCGTATTATGCTGCATAAAATTCATCGGTAAGTAATAACGATTCAGAATGATATACCGCACATCTACCCCCTTCGATTATTTCCCCTTATTCCTCTCTTGATATGTTATTCCTTCAGATAGACAGACAGACAGACAGACAGATAGGTAGACAGGTAGATATTATTAGTATAGAATATTGTCTAATTAATCAATAAGCTTTATTTGACATCAGTACACCAGTGAAGAATGTAGTAGGAGCGAACAAAAAAAATTAAACTGTCGTGTGACATTCCAAGAGAGAAGAAGAAGAAAGGGTAAAATATATATGATACCAAGATGAGGGTGAGATAATCTGTGAGCTATATCACCTGATGTCTGCAACCACTCATTTTGGCTGTTGTGAGGACTTGAATGTAAAAGTTTTCATTTCCCTAAAAGAATAAGAGTAGTAGTCAAAGATTTCATGAACTGGTATCACGTTTTATTCTACTCAATATTACATTCTCTCAACCTAATCCTGTTGACACAACTGACATTGTGATTTAGAATAGATGATGGCTTATCGTTCGTAAAAGATCTCTCAGCTACCTTAAATAATAAGAGTCAACCACCTCATCAACTGGATTGAATTATCCCATTTCAGATATACCAGTCCATGAAAGTCAGCCAGCTAACCAGATTCAACTGAATTTAGGGGATTAATGCGAATTTAGATATTTTTTTCCAAGTTGGTATTCATCGTAGAGTGACATTAGTTTGAGTAACATTAGAAACCTGGGAGCACTGGAAATCTGTTTCGTCCTAGTATGGGACTCCTCAGCAGTGCGCACCCACGACCCCACCAGGGATCAAGCCCGCGGCCTTCGGGCTCCTTGGTCACATTGGAAGAAAATTAAAAAAAACTCTAAATCCCCCAAAAACCCCGAATCCGATTGAACTAGTGCTCATTGGTGACTAGCTACGAGAGGGGAACCCAGAAGTTCCAATGAGAAATCGTGACCTGTGGGGCAAACCTGATGGTCGTAAGGACAAATACTCAACGGGGACATTGAGTGAAGGTCGTGCTGTGTCATGAACTGATAGAAGTTAGAAATGTGGACCATCGGATTCCGACACAGTGGCTAGCTCAATGGTAACGCGCTGGCTAAGGAGCCTGAAGGCAGCTGGTTCGACCCCTGGTGAAGCAGGTTCGTGGGTGTGCATTGCTGAGGAGTCCCGTACTAGGACGAAGCAGCAGTGGTTTCTAACCACTCAAGTTATTCAGTAGTCTATGTCTTTTCGAATTACTTACCCTCACTGACGGCAGCTAATGACTACAGAGGAGAACCTAGTGTGAATGACATCTAATAAGTTACTGGGACCCAATGGAACACAAACTAGGTTGTTGCTACTTTTTACTGGTATCATTCAAGAACCGTTTATAGAGATATTTAGAGTGACTTTAAAGGCTATACTAATCCTAACTGCTGAGATAACAAATTACGGTTCTTTATCTTATGAAAAACTAACTTCCCAGTTAAAACACCGAGACCTGATTGATTATTCCAGGGTGGATTTTAAAGTCACTCAAGAAGATAAACTTAAATCGCCAGTTAGATTTCTGTTTATTTCCGCTAGAAAGGCAGATTTTCATGAACTAGAAAAGTCAAATTGGTCATTATAATTGTTGCTAAGGTGGCCTTTAGAGTCACCAAAAGTCACGCGTGAACTACACGATCTCTATCCCGAATACTTATCTCTGACATATTTAATTTTAACCAGAAAGGAATAGATGAAAACTTGACTTGGCGCCTATTGATTCCCGAAAAGACATCGACAGAAATCAATACAGGCATCATCGTACCATACATAAAGAATATATCAGAAATCACGACAAGATTACTGAAACCACTTGGAATTGGTGTGGCTCATAAACCAACAAGTTCCCTCCAAACACTATTATCCACACCAGAGGATGCAACAACCAAAGAAGACATCGAATATCATTTATAAAATCAACTGGGATAACTGTAGTCACCAGTACATTGAACAAAGTGGTCGCCCACTTCGCCTTCGTCTACATGAACACCAATTGGCTGCTGAACGTCATGACATCTCATCACTCACTTCAATGCACGTGGATAACAACTATGGATATGAACTCAGTTTTGACAATGTATAAATTTTGGATGAAGAGAGGAAAAACAAAGGATATCAGAGAATTGCTGGAAACTTGACATTCAGATCAGTCAGTCAGCAATCAATAGATGTGCAGACATGATAAACGACAGAAAGGTCAGAGATCAAGCAAAGGAACAGTCAACAAGAAAATCTATACAGTTAGTCAATGACACAAAAATCAAAAGAAACAACCAATCACAGATCATATCGTCAGAGCAAGCCCCTAAATTACTCATGGAGAGATAATGATAGCTCACTGCTTCATACTGAAGTTAGTGCTGATGATGTCATCTAGCAAAACGATGAAGGTTCCACTATTAAACAACCTAGAACAGAGAACGCAATACAGCCAAAAGAGAATATATTTGTTTCACTAACCTATCGGTTTGTACTGACTGATTTGTTACCTACTAGGATGATGAAACGTTTGTGAAGTTGATCCAAGTTTAAAGAGGAGATTTAACTGTCAACCTGCACTTTCACTTACTACTAATATTTCATTTCAAAGTTTTGTGTTTAATAAACTGTAAACCCCAAATCATGAGGTATCTGTGGTTTAATGGTTATTAAAGCGCGTTACAGAGATTCCATAAATAGCACAAACTATAAGGCTGTATCCAAAGAAAACCAGAAGAGAGAATATAAAAGACGCGCGTATTTCTCCAAGATAAGGTAGTGATACTAGATAAACAAATGCTCAAAGTAAAACAGAACATCATGTAACAAGCGGAGGGATTTCAACACCACCATGGACTGAGAAATGTACTAATATGTAGGCCTGTTAAATGATGAATATGACTGTATTAGATAGAAGGAAAAGTCAAACATCAACATTGTAAGGCAACATAGTTACACTACTGAAAAGCAAAAATAAGTAGTTCAAAGATTAAGACACAAAAAAGGAAACAAGGGCAAAATATTTTAATGTGATAACGCTTGACAAAATTCATGTATTTCTCATTTTTCACTCTCGACTAAACCATACAGATCACGACGTCTTAGTCGACTGGATCAAGTGATAAATACGCTTGGTAACAATGAGAATTATAATCCAACTAAGTTTACTGCCACTCTACCTACAATTAAAAGTTCAACATCTATAACAACACGTCAGAATATTCATGAAACTCCTGTGGACACTTCCACTGTTAATGTAGCTGATAATCAGAATACTGAGAAAACAAAAGATCAAGTTAAATTTCATACATTACCACGTTTAAAACAGATCAGTCAACCTTCAGTAAAACAATCTAATCCTTCATCATTCGATCAATCCAAAAAAAAGTTACATCAGAAATCACAAGAAAAATCACAAAGTAAATTATGTCACTTGATATAAATTTTCTGTTTTTTTTTTCTTCCAGAGAATAAAAGAAAGATAATTATTGATTTTTTTTATGCATATTTTTCAGATGAAAATAAATATGTACAAAGTAAATTTTTGTTTTATTTGGAAAGTTATTTTTATCTCATTTTGCTAATAATTCACATTTCTATTATCCTTTTTGTGTATTATATGCATATTTCACCTTCACTTTGCTTATATCTGATTGTATATATAAACGCGTGTGCCAAAATGTTAATGAATTTCTCTTCGAGTACAATTATTTAAAATTATTGATTGATTGTTCATTATATCTCTGTTCCAATAGTTTCTGCTATGACTCCTACACAAGTGTCTAGCAGACTACGAACAATAAGAACCTAAGACACAAACCAATCCAACTCTAAGACAAATCAGAATCCCAACCACCATTATCACAGCAATATTACCGATGCACGAAGACAACAGGAGATGATAAACCGTTGACAGTAGTGTTGAATATATACATTTCTAAGTGACCTTGACAACACTAAATCCACACCTGGTTAACAACCAATGAGAGTTCAACCTTGAGAACAGGGGAAAAAAAGCTAGTTACAGTGTGAAAACAGCCATATAGGTTATTTAAAGGTCATGAGAAAAACAGCAGGCAAAAGCTATGAGAAATTAGGGATGTAAAGCAGTTTGATAAAATACTTTTCCTCATCTTTGTATGAATGAAATGGTATATAACACTCCATTCTTCATTATACACGCTAACTGTTCAACTATTGTAATCCTTGTGTTCTGGTTTAAACTGCGTTGAGTAAATTCGGAGAAGAGCTTGATTACCAGTTTAATAAAGCTAAATTCTAGTGACGGGTAAACTTCAAGGCAAACCAATCAGGTTTTAGATGCTTTATTCAAGGTCATTTGTGTAATTCCATTTATCATGTTGTTAACGTTGCATAAGCCGTTCATGAATTATGACTAAGATTACGTTGTCACTTATATGCAGAGAATTGAAATGCTTAGGCACAAATGTGGTGTTAAAATGGATGTACGTAATAAACATACACAAAACCGAGGAAAGCGGCTTAAATGGGACTGCGTAAATAACATACCTACATATTGACAAATCACAGATTCTTGATATATACGACTGAAACACGAAGAAAGATAACTTTCAGTAGACAAAGGATAGATAAGAAGAATGTATCCTACGGGTTATGAAAAAAAATAGGTTAAATTGAATACTACAATACACAGAGATGCTTGGAAGTCATATATGCCGTTTTCTGGGATGTGTTATTGTTAGCAAAAAGCACTTCGTTGATACGACAACTAAAGTGCCCACAAAAAGGTTGGAAATATGTAGAGCCATCTGTGAGAATCCTTGACAGCTTTAGCATGATCATAAGGGAACATGATATGATCTCATATAGAAGAGTGGTAACGGAGACAATAGTTTGGTCTTAACGATGATATCTATGGTTTTTCAGACTTGTATTGATGTTGGATGATGATTGAAGGTGAAATGAAAATGTGAATTGAACTAAGCTACGAAACCCAACTCCTAGCTAAATTTCTATTTCACTCCAATCACTTAGGTTGACTGAAGTATATCAGGTGGTAGAGCATCCAGCGTAGAAACTTAATGGCCACCGGTTCGAAAATTTTCGTCGACAAAATTCTCATTTCACCTTTAACCATCATCTAACATCCTTATTTCTGATATAAAACAGATTTTAATCATTTTAAATCAACTCTGCTTAATTGTGTACATCAATTAATGACATTAAAGCCGAAATTCCACGGAAAAGATCCTAGAAGATTTGGATTTCGCCGATGACGACTTGTGTCTAATGTCACACAAACTTGAAGATCTATAGGCGAAAACTAACAGGTTGACAGAAGAGGCGAGGCTGGGCAGCGAACACGGGACCTCTAGTGAATGTAGAGAAGACAGAGGTAATGAAGATACCCAACCCACCAACAACAACAATCTCCAATCACCATCAATGGGAGAATTTTGAAGGAAGTAGCCTCCTTCACCTATCTAGGCAGCACTGTTTCAACTATAGGCCGCATAGGCACAGATGAGGACGTCAAAGCCAGTCAGGACACGAAAGACAGCAAGACAGGTGTTCATTAGCCTGAAACCAGTGTGTAGATCTTCTGCACTCAGCACAAAACGTGAACAAGATCCGGATTTTCGACACCAATTCAGTCAAGTGAGTGCTTCTGTATGGTTCAGAGACTTGGCGTGTTACGAAGAGGATTTCCAACAAACTATAGATATTCATTAACAACTGCCTATACTCACTCGATACTGAAGCTCAGATGGCCAGAATAATAAGAATAAGCAACAAGGAACTCTGGCAACGAACCAAAGAAGCAAGAATCTGTCACTCAACAAATATGTAGAAGGAAGTGGAGATGGATTGAGCATACACTGAGAAGGCCGACTGGGGACATCACGCACCAGGCCAGTTGGTTGAGTGGAATCCAGATGGGAAGCGACGAGTTGGGCGTCCGAGTTGAGGGTGACATGTAGGAGATCATGCGAGGAAGAAATGAGAGCTTGTGGGATGTCGTGCAGCCAGGTTGAACAGTTTACAGAGAACAGAGTGTACTGGAGACGTGCTACTGAAGCTCCATGTTTCACTAAGAACCCAAGGGACAAATAATAATAATAATAATAAGGCTGAAATTATTATATCATCTTAGCAAAGAATAACTTTAGCCAACTGAAAGAACTCAGAGAAAACAAGAATATTTTTTTGTTAACTCAACCTAATAAGGCAGTGAGGGTACACAGAATGTTAAATACTCTCTCGAAAAAAAAAGAAAAGTCCCGGAGACCTGAATGTATAAAGAACAGAGTACAATCAGTCTAAGAACAAATTACACAGGTTCTGAAGAGAAAAAAGTGACAAAGAATTCACCATTCACTGGAGAACAATATGAAGAAAATAAAGATTTACTGGACGTATAACTCCTCACAAACTTGGACTACCATTTCGTGCCCAAGTGGTTTGCTGAACTACTAGACACGTTGAAAAGGCAAGTCTGTAATCATTCACTGTAGGCTAAATTTGGATTTCACTGCTAGCCACTGCCCATCATTACTATACATTTGAGTTTGCTGTTTAAATGCTACTGGTAGAATCACTGTAGAGACAGAAGACAGACACGATGGAAGATATGCATATTACCCACCATTGGAACAGTAGTCGTTACATACGGTACACCTTGCACTAAACCCATCATTTGCAAAATGTGCTTCATTTCCTCTTATATTTCTCTCTTGATTTGCTCTTCATACATTCTTATTAGCAGCATCCACTGAAATACGCCTGTGTTATCCCTTGAGTTGCTCTTGACAGAATCCTTACACATTGTTGGTAATTCCCTATGATTCCTGCCACCTTTTCAATATATACTACTTATATCCATTCTTATTAGCAACGCCCACTACACCATGTTTTCTTTAGATGTTTACTCTGTGTTTACAAATGTCCTACTTAACAAAACAGTATGCTTCATATGCGACTATACTGATTCACATAGTGTAAATCATAAGGGTGCTCACATCAAACTTCAGAAAGTTTATACATAGATAAACGCCAAATGTTCAGCTGGTTTTCGACAATGAGATCTGTAGTGATTGGTCATGGGGTGCAACCAATTTCATGTTGTCTAGTCCTGAGTGCAGATCGAATTCTATTGATCATATCTGCAATGTGGCAACCAAGCCAGGAAGCTCAGCATCACGGTGCACATTAGTAGATGTTAGTTGGTTGGAGGCAATTAGTAGGAAGCCCTGGACCTAGGTTTCATGCTTTTTGGCACTCGTCAGCAAGGCGTACCTGCAACATCGACGGAACTGATATCCCGCCCGAGATTCGAACCCGCGTCACCCAGTGTTGTAGTCAGCGTCTTTACCACTGAGCTATTCGGGCCGCGGGTGATGCGGGTTCCAATCTCGGGCGGGATATCAGTTCCGTTGAGGTTGCAGATACGCCTTGCTGACGAGTGCCAAAAAGCACAAAACCTAGGTCCAGGGCTTCCTGCCGATTGCCTCCAACCAACTAACATCTACAATGAGATCTATTAACAGGGAGATGGTGTTTTAATAGGATTCCATTGAGCCTAGTGTTAGACGACTTCTTCTTAGCAAGCATAGAAAATAATATCCTGAGGCAAAACTATTGTGAAGCTATACTTCTACAAGAGATATATGGACGATACTTCCACCATTTGGAATCATGCCTCATACCTCATACATCAATTGAATCCACCCTTGAAGAAGAAAGAGGCTCAAACATTTCATCTCCTAATATCCAAATGACAAAGAGACCTGATGGGATTTTCGATGAATGGATTAGATTACAGAAAACCAACATGAAACCGGTCACTAATAAATTTCAATGACTGAATGACAATATCAACCTGCGACCTCATACATGAGAGCATTGATTCAAGTTGCCATACTTCATATTAGTATACGAAAAACAAGTGGATACAAAAGGAGTGATATCATCAAAGTAGAAAAAGTTGTCTGAGAGAATAAGCGGTATGAAGATAACAGTTAGTGCAAATAGTCAAGCTTTAGAAGACATCAAAGAGTGAATACATCCGTGTCATATTATGAACGATTTTTCAGCCCTGTCACCAACAGACCTCAACCATTGATTCCTTTCATCTTAAAGACCCCAGCCAGGCAGGCAACCTACATCTCCCCACAAGGTTTAGACCAACACTTAAAGACCTCATGGAGTGGTGTCACAACTTGTTCTGGCAAATCTGGAAGCAAACTGTAGAGATAGGCAGGCGATTGCTTGGTATGTGCAGTGCATGTCTAAGCTACCTTCTTCGAATAAAGTTGACAAACTCACTAATCAGCTTGACTATCTCGTCTGATTCCTTTCACCAGATAACAACGTTGCTCACACGGGGATTCCACCAAACGCCAGCAAGGCTACAACGATATCTGTGATCAAAACTCTGTAACCTCCATATTTCACAGCCAT